GCTGCGTGAGCTGCGACCCCAATACCTTTTGCAGCAGGTTCGACCTAGGCGATGAGTGTCTCTTTTGAGTCGGAGCCCATTTTTGTGCCTCGTCGTCCAACCGCTCCTTCGACCCGTCAGCTTACCGAGTGGCGATTGACTGTTTTGGAACTCACACGCTCGCTGGAAGCGGTATGTTTCTTCTTGGAACTTCTGCCCTTTTTAAATCTTGGTGGTTGCCTTACTTGTTTCTTTGTCTTGGCAGAGTCATCGCTCGCTCGAGATGTTGGAGCACGAACTTCACACAGCGGAGCACCGTGAATGCGGTCTTCCAGATAGGGCTAGCGAGCTCCAGGCTGAACTGCTCATGATGCGGGACCAACTCACGAAGGCGTAAACCTCTGCTCGGGGGGGGAGGGGGGGGGGGGGGGGGGGGGGGGGGGGGGGGGGGAAGCGCCTGACAACGGCATTGGCCGATAACCAACAGAACTTGAAGACCCGAAACTGCGAGGTGCGAATGCTCCGTTTGACCAGGGCGGTGTACTGGGGGTTTACTCCAGGGGCCGAGACAGACCTCGTGCTGATGGCGGCCGAAAATATTGCGAACACCCAGACAATGGTCTGCTTGCTCAGGCGGGAGCTCGACGAGGAACGTCGGCGGAACGGGCCACGGGGACGGATGATATACTGCATTTTTAAGGCTTTCAAACCCAAGGTTTTCAATGGTTTTTCGAGTCAAAGTGTGTCTTTAGATTCATTTAGTCTTTTTATCAAGTCTTTTCAGGATTTAGGTTGCTTTGAGAGAAAATGAATCATTTTGGGTGCAAACATGCATATGGAGATACAAAACTATCCAAAGACGCTTGACGTTTGTAAATCTTTGAGGCACTTACCACCGATGGATAGTGCTTATTTTTTGACACAAGCAATATATATGAGTTATCATTCATTTGGAAGCGGTTTGAAGGCGATCCAATGGTTCGATCTAAAGTTGTGCTAATTTTCGTGAAGACTGTCCAAAACAACCGGTTCATTAATGCAGAAAAAGAAAATCCCGAGTTTTCCTATTTTGACTCGGTTTTGGTAGGGATTGGACCTAAAACGACCTATGACCTATATATACTTATTTTTGGCTATTGTTGCAGCCACCTTTTATTTTCTATTGAGACTTTGAGCTTTTTGTAATTTGTGAGTTTTGGGGAGAAGATCTCTCTACTCTACATCTCTGAGAAGATTTATGAACCCCAATTGATTTATATTTTATTTATTATTATGAATTTATCTTTATCTCTTTTCTGTTATTCTTCTTCCATGTCTGAGTAGTTCCCTAGTTAGGTTTAGGGTTTCAAAGGAATTATGAGTCGTTGAACTGGACATCGATAAGGATTTATTCATATGTTGTCTTCATCTATTGTTGCGCCCACTGCCTAGGCTGAATTGATTACTTAGTCTCTGATATAGGATTTAATCTATTCATGAAAGTGTTTTAGATTGCTTGATAGAATATAGATGAGCAGATTGTCCTTAGCTAACGAAAGCTGATGTTAAGACAATCTGTGAACAAATCGAACCTGACCATTAATGCTTGTTTAAAATCTTAGGTTGCTAGATAAAGTCTCTGATACCACGACAGTGGATTAGTTATACATTCATGTTTGAGTTCAAGACTTTGCTTATTTGTTCCCTGAATAATTGTCTGGTTCATGATCTCTGATTCCTGCGAATTGCCCTTGACCTGACGCCTGTTTTAATTGATCTTTTACCAAGTTTATTAGCTATTTTCGTTTTACAACCATCCAGCTACCCATATTCTTGTCTTAGCTTCACTTCAATCATTAATAATCATAGTGTAACCTTGGTCTCTGTGGATTCAATCCCACCTATATTACTGTGATTGTCTGTGCACTTGCAGTCTTTTATTTGGGTAAAACTTGAGTGTATCAACAGACGCTTCGGGGGCAGCAAGATGCACTGGAGGCGCGGGCCCTTTTTCACCGGCGGGATCTTCACACTCGTCGGGTTTTTAAATTAAACAATTCTTTTTTGGGGACTTATGTCCCTTGTAAAATATAACCTCGTACTCTCTGAATCGATGGCCATTTTTTGGCCTTTCTCTTTTTAATGCACTTGATGTTTTTTGTCGCACATCTTCGTTTTTATGCGCTCTTTTCATACTTCTGCTTCGTTTCGCCAACCTGACCTCTTGGCTCCGGGGCCAGTACGCATGATGGTTTTGGAGTCTTGAGTCCTGTTGAGTAGAGTCGTGGCTCATATGCCTTTTACATTTTTCACATGGTCAAGCCGTGTGGACTGCTTCCTTCGTGGAACACTCGCCGGTAATCCACCCTCCTTCTGGCGCCAACTATTCGGAAACAAATTTTGGGATGCCACATGGGGGTGTATCATTCGTCAGGGGAGTGGAGGCGTGCCTCCGAGTTTCGTCCTCTGGGGTGAAAGGCGACGAGACATTCTGGGGCGGAAGCTGGTTCGGGTCCCGTTAGTGGGACAGTAGACAAGTCCCGCCCTGCAAGCACTCACAAAAGGTCAATCGGGCCTCCGGAAAGACCGAAAGGGGGTTTCTCTCCCAAAGGTTCTCCAACGCCCAAATCAATGAAAGCCCTACCAGGAACAAATACGCAGGTGGGTGTTTCTCTAAAGGTTCGGGGTAAGAAGTCTCGTCCGGAGATCGAGGCGTCTATCTGTTTACCGGTGTTTCAAGGGGGTTCTATATCGAAAGAGAAAGATTCAGCGAGTATAAAAGACAGGATTCCGAGTAAGAGAAGGACTTATCCTGATAGGCATCATCTCGAGGGAACGGGAAGGTTTTTTCTTGATCATGCTGCTTGGTGGCGTGAACCGGTTATAGGTGATCGGGCTTCCTTAGAATGATCTCTAACGATCTTTCCTCCTCCCCTCTCCATCTCTCCATCTCTCCATCTCTCCATCTCTCCGTCTTCGCATCTCCCGTCTCCTTGCGGATGTGCTTTCCTTTTATACTAGTCTTTCTCTGTCATGTCCTCTTAATTCGGCATGCCAAAAGAGCAAGTAGGCTAATGATTCATGCGTGTTCGGGGAAACTTGCCAACTACCTAGGAGCAATGCATAGATGTTGTTCAGCCGAGCTAGCGTGACTTGTGTCAGTGTCTAGGGCTGTTAGGTGTCCACGTGTCGTGCTGTCCTTAGAAGCGGTGAAATCGGTCACAACAAAATATATTTTTTAAAAATTATATATTTACCCTTATGGACTTTTCACTCGAAGGAGTTGAAATTTCTCCGGAATTCAAATTATATTGTCTCTAATAATTTATACCTCATCGATGATTAGACACTATATCTGTTATTAATAAAATTAAACAATAATTTTAATTTGTTAAAAAATAATAATAAATGTCAATACAATGTAGAAAAAAATATTTTGTTTTTATGTTTTGCACAAATCAAATATTTTTTTAACACAAAATAACATATCCATGCTAAATATATATTTAAACAAATATAAATGTGTATATATACTTATATATATTACTATTATATTAATATAATAATAGACACATTGTTTGCATATAATTATATATAGATATATATTTGTTAATTTAATTTATGTAATATAAATTTCATAAAATATTACTATATTTGTTATCAGAAATAGGCACACATAATTATTTATTTGGTGTAAACATATTTTTTTAATAATTATAATTAGTATGAACTATTAATATAAATATATGGGATATTGATATAAAAATAAAAATATGGTATATGTGTATATATATAATTATTTAAACTGAATATAATAATAATAATATATATCACTATTACTTAACTTTGTATGATATTAGATCTTAACTAGTAAAATATTTATCAGTATTATTTAAGTAATTTTAGTTTGTAAAGTTAGTGGTATTAAAATAAATTACTATATATCGTATAATACTACTTGTACTAAGTATATTAATTTATTTCTAATTTCATGAAATATGTAAGTTATTATAATAATAAAATTTAAGTTGAAGTAAAATCATTATTATGTTGCAAGAAAACTTATAAACAAATACAAGTATTTTAAAAAAAATTAAAAGATATTAAATATTGAAAGATGAAGTTGCTAAATATTGAATTCAAGGAGAATTATAAATATTTTAACTAAATATTTTTGATATAACAATGACCTTAATATTTATAAGTTATAGTTTTAAAAAACTAATAAAGAAATAAATTTAACCTAATTTTACATTTGGATAATAATAACTTCTAATTTCTTAAATATTATATAAATATAAATTTATATATAATTGACATAATAAATTAAAAATACCTGAATTTAGTGAACAATTTCATGGATCTCACTTCCTCTTTGAAAGGGACATCTCCATTTAATGACATATAAGGTGGAGTATGATTTGAGTGACCCAAGAGAATGAGAAATCATGCTATTATATAGTATTACTAACTTATTAAATAATTGAATTTAAAATTAAAATATATAAATAACGTAATTGATCCGTATTAGACAGTAGCAATTTGAAGTTTTGAAGTGCGATCTTTTCTTTATTTCTTGTGCAATTCCGCATTTAGCTTTTTTTTTTTTTAAAAAAAAACAGGAATTAATGGTATTATCTCTTGATTGGCAGTTAATGTGTGGTTTTTGAAATACGCACATTTAAATCCGCTCCGTACATGTTTCTATTCATTGCCGGCTCCGAATGGTGACTGTGTATTGTGTGGTATTAAAAGTGTGGAATTGAATAGCAGTGCGGTTAAATGGCGAGACATGCATTATGCGGAAGTAGTGTGGTTAATGTAAAAAGTGCGGTGTAAAACAATTTTGATTGGTGAAAATATTAACAAGCGGTGCAGAATTTTAAAAGTAAATAAATATATATATAAAAATAATATTGTAATTATTATAATTTTTTATTTATATTTAGTGATATAAATATTTTTGTATGAATCTTAATTATTAATACACAAAAAGTGTTCAATGATTAAAAAAGACAAAATACAATACTATACAAAAACTATCGAGTGGTTTGATTTTTCCACAACATATCCGCAATGTTGTCTCTTATTTGCACCATATGTTCTCTATCTGCTACTCCAGCTGTGTTTGTGTCACATGCATTAGGTTTCGAATCTCTATTGTTTATTCCTGTCTCTGTCATTACATATGCATAATCTGCATCTTCAAAATTTGAAATTTTGAAAAAGTTATGTAATCTCATTGTAGCCATTACCACTTTCTTTTGAACGTGTATATCATATCTTAGAAAATCCGAAAGAATCCTCCATTTTTTCTTCCAAACTCCATAACTCCTCACGATTACTGAACGCAGTGACACATGATATCGATTGAACAACTCCTGTTTATTCCTAAGACTAGGTCCAGAGTTGAAATGAGATATATGATATCTCACAACTCCATTTCGTGATGATATGTATGGATAACCAGAATCAAAGAGATAATATTTCTCTAATGGAGGCAAAGGGAAGTTAGGGTCATTTTGTTGTGCTATCGCCCAAAATAACAGTATCATGGCATGATCCCGGTGCTCCATTCCAAATATATGTGAATAACATATTTATATCACATATTACCATGATGTTTAAAGATGCATGATCATGTCGATTGCAGTACATTTCTTGTAACTCAGGCTTCAGTTTTATACAAATATTTGTCCCATCCATAGCTCCAAAGACTAAAATGGATAATATATTTGATCTATAAAAAGTCTTTCAGAAATCTGGTGTAGCTCTTCTCTTGTTGGTACCTAAATTTAAATACATATTTTCATGACTATAAAGATTATGTATACTTACCAATTCATGCTTTTTCCACCATGCATCAGATGCATAGATCATGGATGTCTGAGGATCCACCGAAATATCAGTGAAGCTCATAAGAGCTTTCCATCTCTTGTAATTTTGTTTTGAATTCATCAAGCTTGTTCTTAAAATAACCATAAGTTATATTCATGTTGAACGCACTATTAAACTTTTCAACCATATATACTCTTCCAAAAAGATCAAGATTCTTAGTAGTGTAATTATTCATCGCAATTGCTTCATCAAAAAGTCTATTAAGGTTTTTTCTATAATGTACGACAATTTGTATTTCTCTTTGTCTTTGTTCTGCAAATTTCAAAATTATTATGCTAATTATTTTATTAAATTTATATAATGTATTTTTTTTTAAAAAAAATATATATATATATATATATATTTACCTTTATGATTGTTTTACTGAGAGGAGTTGGAATTTATTCGGTATTTGAATTATTTTGCCTCAAATAATTTGTACCTCGTCGACGATTAGACGCCACATCTGTTGTTAATAAAATTAAACAACAATTTTAGTTTGTTAGAAACTAATAATAAATATCAATACAATCAATAAAATTATTTTTTATGGTTTTCATAAATCAAATAATTTTTTAACACAAAATTACATATCCATGTTAAATATATATTTACATATATATATATAAACCTATTATACTAATATATCACACATATATGTATATATTATTTGCATTAATTATATATATATATATATTTTAACTTAATTTATGTAATATAAATTTCATAAAATATTCCTATGTGTATTTTATCAGAGATAGGCACACATAATTATTTATTTGGTGTAAAACATATTTTTCAATAATTATAATTAGTTTGAATAATTGATATAAATATATGAGATTTTAATATAGAAATAAGTATATGGTGTATCTGTTTATATATATAATTAATTATCTAAACTGAATATATTAATAATAATATATATCAGTATTATTTAACGTTGTACGATATTAAATGTTAATTATTAAAATATTTATCAATATTATTTAAATAATTATATTTTGTAAGATTAGTAGTATTCAAATAAATTATTATATATCGTATAATACCACCTATACTAAGTATATTAATTTATTTATAATTTGATGAAATATGTAAGTTATTACAAAAATAAATTTTAAATTTAAGTAAAATCATTATTATGTTGCAAGAAAACATATAAACAAATAAAATTATTTAAAAAAAATATTAAGTGATAAACATATTGAATATTGAAGGATGAAGTTACTAAATATTGAATTCAAGGAGCATTATATATATTTTAATTAAATGCTTTTGATATAACGATAATCTAAATATTTAGAAATTCTAGTTTAAAAAATAATGTAGAAATAAATTTAACTTTTTTTTGTTAAAGGACTTGAAATAAATTTAACATAATAATACATTTGGATAATAATAACTTTTAATTTCTTAAATACTGCATAAGTATTAATTTATATATAATTAACATATTAAATTAAAAATATCTAAATTTAGTGAACAATCTCATGGATATCACTTCTTCATTTGAGAGGTACGTCTCCAACTTGTGTTTTATTGACATATAAAGTGGAGTGTGATTTGAGTGACCCAAGAGAATAAGAAATCATGCTATTATATAGTATTATTAATTTATAAAATAATTGAATTTAAAATTAATAAATATAAATAACATAACTGATCTGCATTGGACCGTAGCAATTTGGAGTATGAGAAGTTGTTACATCTTTATTTAATAAAAGTAAATATTTTGGTTATGTGAATTATTTTTAAAAATAATCAAAATTTTAAAAATATTTTAGTTATACCACACATGTAAATGTTACCAATCATAAATTACTTTGAACCGTAACTTTAGCATTAACCACTCGTATCCCGCAAAACACACATTCCGCATTTTAACCGCATTGCATTTTAAAATCTACTTTTTTAATCCTGCAAAACGCGGTTACCATTTGGAGTTACGTCTCCTCATTTTTTTTCTCTTTAATTATAGTTCTTCTCTTTCGTGAATAACTTGATATATAATTAGAGAATGTGAGATCATCTGCAGTGGTTAGAGACTCAAATGAATCTCTCATTACATATTTAATTATTATTTGAAGTATAAAAATAGTTAAGCCAATTATTATAAGATAACTGTATCAAGAACCTCTAAACAAATTGAATCTCTCATTTGAGAGATTTCATTCTCTCTCTTGATTTTTTTTTAATTTTATTATTTTTTTAAGTTGAATGACTTATTGAGAGACCTACAATGCAGATGCTTTGAGACCTAAAGAAATATCAAAAAAGAAGACTAGGTTAAACTTATGAAAGCTCTAGTACAGAACCCAAAGCATATATAACACTACATTTTTTCCAAAATATAAACCATAGTATAATAGAACAAGTGTGAATTCATGGAGTTTTTATTAGTGTTCAAAAGAGCCCAAGTCTACTGATGTAAATGATCCCAAAGCTTTGGATATATAAATGTCAAAGTGAGAATTAAAGCTGAGTAACGAGGAAGTTTTTTTGGTATAATATTATTCATTGTGAAGCATGTAAACACTATAGCTGTGCAGTCTGTTGACAAAGCCCTGCATCGAATGCAAAATTACCAACAACAGACTGCACAATGCTAAAAAAAAGAGTACAGAGCCGCCTCTTCAAACTCCATGACCTTGTACTGAAAAATGTACCAAAAGCTCGAAGCATATTAGACGGAACCGTATCGAATCATCAATATAGTGAAACCCTACATCTATGGACTCAAGGAAAACAAAGGAAACGACGTATCACGAGCATGGAATTCAATACACTTGATTGCTCAGCTCAGCATAATAAAAAAGGGAGTGGGGGGGGCATGCACCAGGCCAAATATCATTTTGTAATAACAACTACGAAGGCTTGATCCCTAATTTGGGTACGTATACAGCCATTTACCAATTTTATTAAGTTTCATCAGCTCGGCATTGAATGTGAATATCTACCCATCGACAAAGTTAACGAAAACTTATCTTCTCAGCACAGATGCACAACACCTCGACATAAATAAAGTCGCCAGTCCTTCTAAATGAAGAAGAAATTCATGTCATGTCCGTGCTCTGGCCAAGCGCATGACTTCAAAATAAAACAAAAAAGAACAAAAAGAGTAAATTATGGCTGATCACCACATCTTAAGGATTTTGTGTCATTGCATTACCTCTGAAATCTAAGGGATAAAGCCGAGGTTGAAACTCGCATAACTTTTGGCCATACAAAATAACATCGACTATAATATAAAGCTCGCATATTCGACCTTGAAAGTTGTAACTGGTATAAGACGAGCAAATAGTCCTCGCCTCCAAATTGGCTGATGAAATGCCCACCCATAGACTAGAAAATTAGTGCATTTACACCCTCAAATGTAGAAATAATAAACATATGGTAGCCGAATAAAGGGTGATGATTTAAAATCAATCCTCTACCAGATGATGTTGATTACATTAAAAAAAAAATACACAAAGCGATAATAATCTAAGAACTCATTCGCTCTCAACAAATTTTACTTTGAGTCCTTCAGGATACTCGGACATCCTGTCTATTATGTCCTTTATGACTCCACCCTGGATGTTATATAACAGTTCGGCAGTAGCCGACCTCGCCAAATGAATAAAATCTACATCCGAAAAAAAAACTTCTAAAATTGCGTCATCCTTGTCGATCCATTCTTTCCTCTTTTCTTCCACCGATGAAAGCCCCTTGGTTGGAACTTCCCACCCTCGAGACCACATTTCTTTAATAAAATGAATAACTGCATCATTTTTCTGAGTGTTGATAAGAATATACTTGATTTCATCACGTTGGAAAAAAAATCTCTTGGCTTTCTTCATACGAGCTTCATACCACAAGAGGGCACTCCCTTATACCTCATCGGCGGTCTGACGAACTGTCTCCTCGCGAGATTTACGAAGTTCTGTCACCTCAGCGGCTAAGGCCTTATTTTTGGCCCTTAGTTAGGTCATCTTGCTCTTCAAATGAGTTACCTAAAGCTCGAGATTTTTGACTTTGCCTTCTGCGCCACATAGCTCTATAAACTTTTCAGCAGCATCATGTGCCGTTGTGCTCTGAAATTTAAGCATCTGATCGTAGCTTTCGGCGAGCATGGAAAATAACACCATTCACTGATATGTTTCTTTAGTCACTGAATATAAGAATACCAAAACTTGTAAATGCAATGATAAAAGCCACAGATGTAGACTTCAGACCTGCACGATATGGTGAGCCATCTCAAATAAGGTGTTGAACTGCTTCAAACAGGCAGCAGGACCTCCGTAATACGGGTTCGGTTTCTACCCCCAAATGAGTTCGGTCGAGAATGCTTTAACATTCATAAAAGGGGTTAACCCATCCTATTTCAATTCGAAAGACCTCAATTTATAGCGGCAGTTTTCTTTGTTCACACTCCCACTTAAGGATGTCAAATGTTAGAGAAGAAATGAGCACATTTTCTAAAAGGTTTTATCTAGCAGTAACCTAAGCCCATCAAGACTAGAAGGACTGTGCCGACCTTGCTCGGATAAAAGGAAAACCCCTAAAGATAACATTCGAAATCCAGAAACATCGGATCAACTCGAGGATAAATGAGAATTTCCATATTCTTTGGAGAATAATGGATATTTCCATGTCACAAATATGAAAATATTCACCAAAGAGAAAAAGGAAAAGGAGTTCGGAGCAACCGACCTCCTATCTCTATAAATAAGAAGACCCTGAAGCCAAGAAGGACAACCCATATAACCTAGAGAGCAGCAGAGCCAAAACCAGAGACTCCAACGCTTTCTAATTTACTTAGCAAACAGCTTCTTTCACGTCGGTATAATCTCTCGGTTATCCTGTTCTTTGTAATCGCTTCGCTTATTGCTATTAATAAAAGATCTTATTCTCTGAAACCTACAACTGTTAATCAAAACCCTAGTGGTGATTTTCTGGTTCAACAGTTGGCACCGTCTGTGGGGACTAGAAGAATAGAATTCTTAAAAAAACTAGTAACTAAAAGCCGAAGCGATGAGTCTCCCGATCGATAACAGCGACCTCATCCACAACAACGATGATACCACCATGCATAATGAGACGTCTGGTCTCGACGAGCATGGCAATCCTACCAACGCGAATCCACCCACGGGAGCACCCCTAGCTCCTATCCTCGCCACCGACCTTGCAGCAGCAATCCAGGCTGCCTTGCTCCCCCTCACGCAAAACCTGGTGTCCAAACTAGACACCCTTCAGACCCAGCAAGCCAAAAATGACGAGCAGCTCAGCGC